AAATTTTGTTCACTAATAAATCCATGATGGATAATACTTACTATCAGATTCCAGATGTAAATGCGCTCGAAATTTATACAATTATATAAATTCAAGTAAAAGAAAACCAATTGTGTTCAGCTCAAAATGCCAAGTAGAAATAACGAATGTCATTGAATCACATTGGACACTTGCTTGTCACAATTACAATTATGAGTGAAAAAAATGCATTGCCATAGTGAAAGTTGATGATTGTAACGGAAGTGAAATTTTGTTGTTATTATTCTTTAGGTAAATAGGTTAAATTTGGTGTTTTATTGTTCAATTCAATACATTCGAATACACAATATTTTTTGTTTTTCCATCTGGAGCATAAATAAACAATGATCGTGTAATGCCAACTCTTGAGCAGGCCACGTATAGCTGCCCATGCGAAAAACATGGCTCTTGCAAATTTAATCCGCAAACTTGAAGCGTTTGTCCCTGCGCCTTATTGATGGACATAGCAAATGATAAGCGCACTGGGAATTGCAGACGCTTGAATTCAAATGGTAAATCTGTTGGTATCAGTGGAATACGCGGAATGAGTACCTTTTCACCTTTTGCTTTGCCAGTCAATATTGTGGCTTCAATCAAATTTGTCATTAATTTGCTCACTGCCAGCCTTGTGCCATTACACATTTTAGGCGCATTTAGATTTCGCAGTAAAATAATTGCTGAGCCGACTTTCAAATTCAAAAGATGCGGTGGCATACCAGATGGTTCTAGTGAATTGAAAAATTCAATTGGGTAATTCACTGCCTCATCTTGGTTCATTGCGCTATCAACAGATTTGTATGATACCACTGCACCTGGCAATTTTTCTTGAATTTGAAAGTTGATTGCATTGACATGAACGTTTTTCGGTGCCAGTATTGCGCGTTCTTTTAACCAATCATGATTTTTGTAATTTTGAACAATATTGGTAAATACGCGTGCAATCAAATCTTCTTTTGATTGTAAAATTGTGCAGAAATCATTCGGTAAAGTAAACAACCCATTCGAGTTATCGATTCGAACTTTGCCATTGCCGATCTCCAACAATTGCTTTGAAAACCGATCTGCAGATTGATCATTGTGCAAATGAACTCGCATATTTTTTTTAAGTGTCAATTGTTGGACATGACGCCACAGAAAAGAAAATTTTAAGCATGCATTGATCTCATCGGCCGGTGTAGATCGTGGAACCACGGGTAATATTTGTCGGAAATCACCTGACAATAATATCAATGCACCACCAAAGATTCGTCCATTGCCACGCAAATCTTGCATTGTACGGTTGATTGCTTCCAGTGATTTTTTATGCGTCATTGTACATTCATCCAATAGTATAATTGATGTTTGCTGCAAAACTTTTGCCATCGCTGAATTTCTTGAAATGTTGCATGTTGGATTCTCAATAACCTGTACGTTTCAAAATAATAATTAATACAAATTCATTTTAAATCAATCAATGAATACAAACAAACCTGCACATTCAACGGCAATTTTAATGCAGAGTGTGCTGTTCGTCCACCATCCAATAATGTAGCAGCAATTCCAGACGAAGCAAGCGCCAATGCGATTTTATGTTGTGCTCGAATAGCTGCCAAAATCAGTGATATAACAAATGTTTTACCAGTACCACCAGGCGCATCCAAAAAATACAATCCACCAGCCTCATTTTGTACAGCTTGCATGATGGTATCATAAACATTTTTTTGTTCGTCATTCAATTTGGGAAGATTCGAATTGACATATGATTGCAATTCATTAGGATCGTACTGTTGTTCCCGCTGTAATTCTCGATCAAATAAGTTATGCATTCGACCGTCGGGTGATGGTAAACCCAATTGTTGTAATGCTTTGTTTGCAATGGCAAGACACAAATCTTCAATTGCTATTAATGCTTCATTATACATTTCCAATGAAATTAGCAGTTCACGATTTGCTGTGCGATGACGCAATCGAATCAAATAGTCTTCTGCCATAAAATCTTTATATTTATTCCACAATTCTAACGGATTCGACGGAAAACATGTTGATATTATTATGGCAAATAACATACGTATTTGATGTGGAGAGGAAGCAATCGACGCATCCTGAAGAGTCAAATCCCAGTGAGCATCATTTTCCAGCAAATTCAAACGCTCACATGCTTCGCGATATGTCTGGCATAAATCACCGTTGACTGTTCGCAAATGTTGAAATGAGCATGGTCCTACAACATTTATCAACAACAATCGCAGATAATAACATTCTGCATTGTTTGGATGAACTGTATATAGTCTTCCCATAGTATCTGCATGAAAAACACCTGGATGGCCATCAACTGGTGTCCCTTGTTTACGTCGTTGCCATTTTTTCGAAATCCAAGTGTAATAATGCGTTACATCTGAATACAGCAATGTTTTGGCGAAATCATCACTTTCGCACAATTGAAAGAATGCAGTCAATGTTGTTGATAGCGGTTGTGCTGCTCTTTGCACTACATTCGCATCCGTGAAATAAACGCGCTGCCCATTTTCCAAATGAACAGCCAAATGAACAACAGCAGGATATCGCTCATGCATCGGAAAAGAAAAAATTCTCCAAAAAGCTTCATTAGTGCTAATGTAGCGTCCCATTTGATATTGAGCAATTTCATCATTTCTGATGTCATTGGCTACTCCAAAAACAGCCATATCACCGCCTTTGTTGACATATTTGCAAATATATTTGATCGACTTCACTGAATTACAATATTCAACGTTAATGTGAGCTTCAAATATATTTGACAATAGCGGTGAATATGGAACTACCCAACGATTGTCGACGGTAACATCTCGGTTTCGAATTTTAAGTGTTGCTGTATGGCCATTATCATTTGGTGACCGACGTCGATACAGTGGGTATCCGTCATTGCCAGTTATCGTCTCAGAAATCAATTCTCTTGGAAACCGCTTTGAGCATTTTCCGTCAATCATACATGGTGAATTCGGGTTAAATTCACCGCAAGGGCCGTGAATCATATTTTTCGTGACAACGGCATACAATCGTGAATCGTCAACTTCAGATGGTATTTCAGCTGATATAATGCTATCCATTTGATCAGGTGAAATTTTTCTAACTAACCATATCAAAATGTGTGCATGCGGTAGGCCTCTTTTCTGCCACTCAATCGAATACATCCAGCAACGAACATCTCCAAATATTTTCAATTTGACAATCAGTTCGATCATTGCTTTTAATTTTTGTCGGAAGACACGTGATGTTATATCGTGCCGATCTGTTGGTGTTTGTCCATCAAATAAGTTGTTTTTGATGTCCGCCCATTGTGGATTGCAGGTAAATGTGATAAAAAGATCAGGTCGACCATGTTTGCGAACATATGACATTGCATCTTGTGTGTATTCGTGCATGTGGCGCGGACTGCCGACATATGACGATGGTAATATTGTTAAACGTCCGACATCATTAACATTGCCATCATTGACAACTGCATCACGCAAATGGATGTATTCTTCTGATCTTAGTTTGGCTTGATTGAATCTAAGGAAATTAAGACGTTCTGTTTCTATTTTTGCATACATATCGACAGCATGTTGATGACAAAGTTTGCCACATCTTAAAATGTAATTTTTTTCTTGTGGTCGTATCATATATCGGTACGAATAAAAATTCATACTACTAACGTTTTTTGATAAGTCATTATGTGCTGATCATAAACAAATTGTTATATTATGTGTGAAGTAAGAAATGGACAATTTATGCCGTTATTGTTATAATGTAAAATAAAATTGACTTTATTGAAATTCAATGCAAAGAAATGCAATGCTCAGCGAAAACAGCAGAAATGTGTGTAATATGCAAATATATATGGGAAAGGAACACCTTCACTCAAACCGTAATAACTCGACAACCAAAACACATACAGAGGTGTTTTTTACATAAAAACCTTCGCATAAACAGCACCTTTCAAATGCTTGTCTCAGGTTTGAATTTGCTCGACTCGTTCTTGAGTTATGGAGCCTCAATCAATATTGTCACTTCTTTTTATATATATAGATTGGAGCGAGTTAGGGCAAAATCTCTAAGTTGTGCGATCAAAAAACGGGAATTTCAAATGATTTAAGACAAGTGTTACTTTTATTTTATTGAATAATTGTAATACAACCGATCGCATCCATAGCCCAACTTCAACTCGTCTTAGCTCTATGTGTAATTACTGTATATAGTTTCCAGTGCAAGCTTTTGGTAGCGTTATGTGACGTAGAGCGTGTGAGTGTGTTGGGCGAATGTGTAGAATGAATGAAAGAAAAGGAGAATGAAAGAAAAGATTGTTCGTATTGAAGCGATGTGGTCAATCTCATGTATCATTCCGTCGGCACGGTACCAAACACATGCAGTGTGAATAACCGTGAGTTCAGTTTGTTGTGTGTTTAATGTACACGACACCATAAAGGTATGTGTGCTATATAAAGATATCTGTATTACATAAAGGTATGAACAATGCAATGAGTGAAAGACGTGTGTTGGGTGTTAGGTGCCGCAGCAGACTGACTTGTTCTGTCTTTATTAACGTATTCGTTTAATAACGTATTCGTATATATTAATATATCAAGAAAAGTCATGGTTATTTCAACCAAAACGATTTCGGTTTTTTAACTTAAAAATTTTTGTTAAACTAACTGAAACTTGATTTTCAGTTATTTTACATAGAACATTTTGGTTTAAAGAACCGAAAAGTTTCAGTAAAATTATGTGAACAATTTTTTGGTTAAAATAAATATAATTTTTTTGAAAAATCAATCAAAAATCTTCAATGAAATTGACCGTAAATTTTTTTGGTTAAAATATTTAAAAACAATTTTTTCGAAAAAAACAACCAAAAATCTTCAGTGAAATAGACCGTGAATTTTTTTGGTTAGAATAAATATGAAATTCCAGCAAAAATATTTGAAAAATTTCAATAAAATTTATTGAACGTAAATTTTTCATAACAACGGCCGATTACATTTAATGAGATTAATTAATCTCAGAATGCCTTATTCTGCGTTCCAACATCAATGGCTTTTATTTTCTGAAGAAATAAACCAAAATATACCAACTTCTTTACTCAATTCAGAGTTTTATATGTAAAATCTTCATTTTGAGTGAATTTTCCAATGGAAAAGTAGATTTGAGACCAAAGTATAAGCAAATTGATATATTATTGTTCACGGACCCCCATTATTTTTCAAAAATAATAGCAGTTTTCTAACATAAAAGTATCAAATTATCCATATTTTTTTTTTGGAATGCAGAATAAGGCATTTTTGAAGTAGAAAAAGTGATTTTCTGTATAAAATATGGCGAGTTGAGAACATAAGCTGGAACAGGGCCATTTTTCGGCATTTTTGGCTCATCAAACCAGATTGAAATAAGTCTACATCGATTTCTCGTCCAAAATTACGTGATAATAGACTCATACCAGGCCACCATAGGTGAGTTTTCTGTGCCATAAGTGTGATTTTGTATGCGAATTTTGAACTTTCGTTTGTTCTGTGAAAAAAAAGTCAGTTTCAGACCAAATTTATAGGTAAACCGATGTTCAAATGGTAATATTTTAATGTATTTTGACGAAAAAATAGCAGTTTTCTCAGATCAAAACATCGTAAGAGGCCATTTTTTCCACAAAAACGCTGAAAAATAAGATATGATCTACTTTCCGAGGCCAAATACAAAAAATTCAATGGTCAATACACGGAATTTGAATTTCTTATCTGAAGCGGCGCGACATGGGCCATCTTTTGACGCGAAAAAAACATGTCAAAAAACACCGTGTTTTTGACTTTTTTCACTTTTTATACTTTGAACCCATTTTTGGGAGCCCCAATGGGGTCAAAGGGAGTAAGTTACTAGGCAGTTTTTGTAGCCCCATCGATTACCTTTCCAACGGTACCAGGGTCTTGGCAATGTGTCAACTACTTCATAGTAAGATTTCAGTTGGCGCAAACCCTTTTTTTCGATTTTTTCAATTTTTTGAAAAATTTACACTGGGTGAACTCGAAAATGTGGGCCACTTACAGCCCTAAGATTTTGGTTTTCTCGTTTTCTACCGAAAACAAAACTCCATGCAAATTTTCAGCCAATTCGCAGAGGGTCGATCCAATTCTTAACTGATTTCGTGTGGAATGGTCGTAATATGAATGTACAATTTAATCTTATTCATGTAAAGTGTGCAACAGTGGTTGAAACACATACATTTCTTCATATGGCAGTCGAAATAATTTACATTTTATATCATCAGTTGTACACACAATCAAATCTTGCTCCACACAGTCAGAAATATAAATATCAATATGTCTAGATGGAAATGGATATTCGAAAAAAAGGTTCTTATTGGGTATTTCATTGCAAAATTGTTTGCAAAACAGTCAATGGAACTCACGGAGTTTGGTTTGAACTCACACAAAACTACAGCTCCCTACATGCCAAACAAGTTGGAACTATGCCTGGTACTCCATCCAGATGACGATGGAACGGAAATGTGGTACCGAGCACAGTTTCAAATCGGTTTAACAGATGGACGCGCCCAAGTTGGACTAATGGACTTCGGGGTTACGGCAACGGTTCTCTTATCGAATATAAGAGAATTCAAGGAACAATTTGCTTATCAATGCATCGCCATTTTGTGCAAAATACGAGCGAATGTTGACCTTGAACTGCTGGATGATGTACATTTCGCAAACTTCAGTACTATCATCGCTAAAAAAATCAAGCCGATGGGAAAATTTCACGACATTTCTGTTCCGGAACGTTACTTTGTACATGAGCAGGAGTTTTTATGATTATTTGATTAATCCATATACGTTATAACGTCCACATACGCATTTCGCAACATGTCAGTAAATAAATCGGCCGATTATAATAAAAAGAACATTTCACTATAAATTGACTTTTTTTTCATTTAAACAGTTTATAGCTATACGTGGAGTTTTTCTAGACACAATCGCTTCTTGAATGATGCGAAGAATTCTGTTTTCATCTTCTTTTCGAATGAAAGGAACGATGTTCAATACATGGATCATACTACATACCAGCATGAACTGATTTTTTCACTTCCCTCGTTTTGGAAGTTATTTTAAATCGCAATTTTTCAACCAAAATAATTTTTCCAACCAACTTTTCTAGACGATCGATTTGACAGATAAAAGCAAACGATTCCTACCTTTGCTGCCTTTGAACATCTAGTACGATAAAATTTATTTCAACATGAAAGAAATATTTCGCCTAATCGTTGAAGATCTGTCCCAAATTGTTGGCGAGATTTGCACGAATTGTTTATATATCCCGAAATTTCCGAGCCCGCAATTTCTGCAAAAATGCACAACATTTTTCATCCGAACTGACCATAGATTTTTTTGGTTGAAAAAACTATGAAATTTCGGTAAATTTAATTGAAATTTCATAGTTTTTTTAACCAAAAAAAACTTTGGTCAGTTCGGATGAAAAATTTTGTGAATTTTTGCAGAAATTTCATAGATACTTTAGCCAAAAATATTTTCATTCAATTTTACAGAATATTTTCATGATTTTTTATTGAAAATTTTTGATCATTTTAATTTAAAAAAGTGTGACATTTTTTCGGTTAAAATAACCAAAAAATCCGTGACTGTTCTTGATAACACCATGGTTGCAATCAAATCATCCACCAGTTGAATCTTGAATAACCAGTCTTCATTTGGAAATTCCGAAAAATTCGAAAAATGGTGAGTTCAATAGGAGCACGTTTTCCAACTTTTCCTGGATGGACTTTGAAAATCATGTCAATAAATACAATAAGAGCATCAAATTTTTTTGATACAAATTATTGACGATTATGAACAATCTAGTAACTTCGACTTTTTAACGTTAAGAATAATTCAATGATGATATGAAATTTTAAAAAAGATTCAAACTATAGAAGAAGAAGAGCATCGCCGTATGATTCGGGCTGGAAGTCTTTTTTTTTAAATGAGCAAAAATTTCTGCTGTCATTTATTGACAGACAGTGGTTTCAGTACGTCCGCGTTTAGGGCTAAAAGACGTAACAAAATATGTATAAAAACTTTATTATGTGATAAATCAAAGAGATTCTACGGAGGAACAAAGTCAGATTGCGTATAAAACGTTTGTAGACACTTGTCTGTAAGTGGATGTAACATGAAAAGCGTTAGTATCGTCCATTTTTCCAAAATTTGAGTGGGTATCAATATTTTTAATGACAAGCAAATGAGAAAGTTCCGAAAATAAACGAGCTGAAACTAAGAACAGTTTATAGCAGACAATTGTAAATAAAGGTATAAGTAATAAAGGCAACGGAAAAAAACATACGTTATTTTGCTGTAGAAAAAAGTTCTAAATGAAAATCGTTAACCTAAATAATTTAATTTGAACTGAAAGACAAGCTCTTTGGTTGACTGATGACTGATTTTATTTCGATTTTATTTGCGTTCATATAGCTATCAAATGCTGACGCAATATGATAACAAGGAATTAACAAAAAGGAAGTGCCAATATGATAATAAGGACCTAATTTAATGTTGGATCCCAACGAAAATTATCTCAA